AAACATTAAAATTTAATGTAAAATGGAATAATCAAGCATTAACTTAGTAAAGGATAATCAGCAATATTATCAATGAAAATGACATGAATGCTATTTTAAGCTTCATTTTTGTTGTTTCCTAGAAGCTTAATTTTATCCATTTTATTAAATTCATATTATTTGATGTAATTCTCAAGAATGATAATTAATTATGCAAATTAAATAACATTTGTTTAAGAAAAGAAAGTAAACGAATTAAAAATGGTTGCAAACGTATGTTATACGGAATGTTATACGGAATGTGTTAAACCATACGTGTTATTTTCCGTTGATTCAATGCAGATCATTTATAGCTGCAACCAAGACTGTATAATAGATTCCAATCATATTATTATTTACCGCTTAGCAAAAATTAATTTCACAGTAAATATACTTATACTTTTATAAATTCATGGTACATAAAAGTTAGCTTATTTTTCACAATAAACACGTAATATTTTATGTATTATTGAAATTTAAAAATGTGAAAGATAACTGTAGAAAATACTGATCATTTCAATTAAAACTAAACTTAAATACTGCAATTCTTGAAAATTTTAATCAATACAATAATCAATAAATGAGCGATTTTTTCCTGAATCACCTGTGCAATTATATTTGACGTAACGTTCCACTATCAGAAAATATAGATATGTTGAAATAATTAATTTGAATATCAATTTCACATCAACGTTCGTTTTATTGAAATTTCAAAGCTTTATGCTTAATTTTATGTTCGCATCTTAGCGCGATATATGCGACGGATATTTGAAAAATGTTGAATTCAAGCAAAGTGTTGAAAATGATCGTTAACTGCTATTAATCAATCAATAGCAAACGTTCTGGAAGCAATGACCATAACAATGAGGTTTGTTCTAATCAAATGAAATAATTATCAAAAGATTGAAAGCATGTCGCATAAGAAAAATCGAAAAGATCTATCAAATTTTGATTAATTAGATAAAACTTGTAATATTGTCTGAAAAATTATAAAAAAATTCATCATTTCGTCTATTTTAAATTACTTCCACATTTTTTTTTACAAAAAAAAAAAAATGAAAAAATTGACCACTTCGTCTATTTTAAGAAAAGCGTATATATACTACCAAAAAAGAAAAAAAAAATGGTATGTCATATGGATAAAGTGTTGTCATACAAAGCGTTTAGCATCAGCACAAAACAAAATAATTTAAAAAGATTTAGCAAAACATGTTTAAACCCTGAATTTCGATGATAAAATTTTGCTACATTTCCTCATTTTATTTTTTACAATTCATGCTAGATAAGAATTTTTACAAATGAATGATTTTTTTATAAATTTAGGAAATTGATATTTAAATTCAATTTATACAATTATAATCTTTTCAGTTGAAATTGATTTTAATAATTTTCTTTTTGATTGGACATTAACATATTACACAAAATTATTTATTATAAATTATGATTTCAAATTTTATATGGAACAAGCAGCATATAACCTTGAAATATTACTAAACTTTTTTTAAAATCAATTGCCTATGATTCTGTATATGTTTTATATAAATAAGTTTCATAAAAAAAAGAAAAAGGAAAAGAGAGAACTGTCTGATAAAATTTAAACTGATCAAACTAAATTGCCTTGTGTTAATTAAAATAAGAACGTATGATAATATGTTGTTAATTTTATTTTTAATCAAAAGAAAAATGCTTTATATAATTAGGCATTGTCGATTTAATTAAATTTAACTAGAAATTTCAAGGAATCATGCGCGAAGTATGGATTGCTTCTAGCATAATTCTGTTATTACTAATATAATTCGTACTCACTGATATTTTTGTTAAATGTTGTTTTAAGGTTTGAAATTAAATCATTTTTTCTACGTCGTACGCCAATTAAATATTTCATTATACTTCGTTTCTTGAGTTAATCAAATTTTTTGGGTTTTTTTTTTTTAATCTAAAATGAAGTATTCATATTACATTACCGTATGTTTTGCTAGATTTAAAGATTCAAATTAAAAAAGAATTTTTTTTAATGAATTCAAAGATCGTTAAGTATTCAATTATTGATTCATTCAAAATTGCCCTTTATGAAAAGATTCAAATCATGTAATTAAGTAGAATAATAGAAATAATTTAAATGATAACAGTGACTGTAATTGTTATCATTACTGAAGTTTTTTCATTTTTTCATTTGAAAACTTTACTCTTTGCAAATGTTTTATCGCACTAAGAAATGAAAAAATATTATTGTCAGAGCAAAAAATTGATTGTATTTCAGTTTCCTATTGATATTTTAGATATTATTTTATTTTTTTTTTCGTAAGTTGTATTGCTTTTATAGGTTTTATAGCTTTATAAATTATAGAATTTCAAAAAAAAGAAAAGAAAAATTAAATTCTAGCAACTAAATTTCAATGATGATGATTACACAGTATGATATCAATTAATTATATAATATTAACCATTTATAAAAGTTCATTCATTGTTGAAATTATCAAAACTATTACCAAAATGAGAATGGAAAACGAGTAATTCATTATTTAATATATTTAACGATGTCTGCGAGTAATTGTAAAAAATTTTATTTAAAAAAAATAGAATTAATAACTTCATTACTGTAATATATATATATATATATATTCATTATAAATTATTATTACAAATAAGAGTTAATGAGATAAATATAATTTGTTTAAAAGTAAACCAGTGCAGTTAATCTTACATTTTATTTAAAAATAAAAGGCAAAAGGAAAATGAGTAGATAAGATCACTTATCATTTCATTGCCAATTAGGTGATTATCTGATAATAATAGCTAAAAGAGACAAATTGAAAATTTAAATAAATTTTAAAATTTTGCAAAATAAAAACAGTTTCTGAAATTTTCCATTGATGGTCAATGCATTAATTTATTCGTTTTCCATTATGAATCACTTACTTTTATTGAAATGATTCAAATTAATGATGCAAAAATAATTTTCTGCAACTTTCAGTTAAAACTTTTTGAAATTATTTCTTGAATTGATTTATATTTATAATTAATTAGTGAATAAGATATATTCAATCATTTGCATTTTTTTTGATTTCTTTTTCGCATTATCTTACTTAAAAAACGAAAAATCGTTAAGCAAATTTTTTGTGAAGCGAAATTTGAAATAAAATTTAAAAGTGTTGAAATTTGTTAAATGTTTCATTTTCTTTTATCTTATCCTATTGTTTTTTTAAAATTTTTCCTAAAATTATTCTGTTATCCGTATCACGCGAAGAATCATTCATTATCAATTTTGGATTTAAATTATAGAAGTTTTATGCAAATTCATTCGTATGTTTACAAGAGTTAATAAATATTTGATTCAAAAAAAAAAAAAAAATCAGATCACTGGTGAATAATCAATTCTGCAAAAGATCAAATCAGACTGATTCAAATGACCAACTCATAATTAACTTATCTTCAGAAGCACTAGAAACAATGGATGATTAGATACTAATAAAGTAACAAATGCCTCTGGATCAATAAATTTAAATTTTCCTAATTCTCTGATAATTAGTCTCCTCGTGATATGTTTCATAAAAATCAGTTAGATTGATGAAGCAATTTAAAATTTTTCAATTTAAAGTCATAATAACTAATCATCATCTTAATATTATTACTATACAAATTCATGGAATGTGTCGCGAATTATAATTTCGCGAAAAACTTCTAACTGTCGTGAAAGACGAAATATTTAAATTATTATATCCAAAACTAACAAATTCCTCTTATCTAATTCCTAAATCTAATTTACATTTACAAAATTTTTCTCACACTTGATGATTCAATTTCCGAATATTTTTACATTTGTAATTCAGCTATGTCTCATACTAATCTATTTCCTCCTTTCACACACTAAAACTAATCTTGTTAAATAGCGATAAGATGTGATAAAATTAGTCAACACCTGCAAAATTGTTTAGGGAAATCATTACATTGTTAACAATCTTGTTTTTTCATCCATGAGAAATTCTTCCATCTAATCTCCATTCGTTAAATCAGTCTTGTATATAAACCAACCAATCCTTCTATAACCATCATTTGCTTTATGTTTTGGGTGGTTTTGGGATGCGTCTAATACTTTATAATTTTGTATTATTTCACCATTTTTATATTATTGCATTTTATATAGTTTACGCGTTTGTTAAACGGTGTAGCATCCGTACGATATGTATAAAAGCGCTATTATTTGCTTCATGTTAAATAAAGGTTTAATTACCCAAGTTTGAGGTTTATTAATCTTCCTACTGTATTGCAACAATTCGAATATCCACCAACAGACAACCTTTCACGACAGAATGTATTACAACCGCTAAGTCTAACAAATAAAAATATAATTTCGTATTTAAATTTGAGCATTAAAATTTGCCATTCAAAAAAGACTTAAAAGAAAAAAAAGCCAAAAATTATCAAACTTTTATCATCATTTCTTGTCAGCATCATTTATTAGCATCATATGAAAGGCATTTGAAATTCCATCTAAAATTTTATTGTACAACAATTTTGCCTAATTTGTCGCAGAATTTAATTTAATAGATGCAATCAATGTTTATTAGTTTGGTAAATTGTTTTGTTCTAAGTTTAAAATTTTTTTAAATTTGATAGATGAAATGATTGTTTATTATAATAATATGTATGCCTGTTGAATTCCTTTGCATGCATATGCATATATACTTGCCACTATATTTCAGTGAAAATTAATTTGTTAATAAAATATGCTAATCTGAAAAAAATGAAGACAGAAAATGATTAAATTATAATAATTTCTTTTCTTTTTTTTATATCTATTTTTATTAACAAAATTTTAATAACTTTTCAAAAAAAAAAAAAAAAAAAAAAAAAAAGAAAAATGTTAAATAAGAACAGCAACAAAAATAAAGAGAAATAAATAATAATGAGAAATGATTTTAAAATTTAAAAAATTAATAAAAAATTTTTACCATTCCAAATTTTATTTTTCTTTTAAATTTTCATGACAAGTAACCAAATGACCATTTTCCGTCAGGAAATGGCGGATAGAAATATCCTCGAGATTGTTGAGATCGTAATGAATTCATTGAATTCCCTCTTATATTATATGGTGGCATAATGATGCGATCAGTGGTATCACTGAAATTGATGCAAACGTGATCGTTGTTGTTGTGTAGTAATGATAAGTTGCATCACCGTCGATCATTATTATCATCCGGAAAATTTCAATAATTGTATGCAAAAGTAAAATTGTCCTAATCAAAATTTGTACTTTAAATTAATTGCATTTAATTTTTTTTTTTTGAAATAATGTGAAATAATATTTAAATGAAAGAAGAAACTTTAATAAAAGTTTAAAAATTGAAAATTTTTTCACTTAAAAATTTTGTGCTAGAACTATCTAAAAGTTATTCATCATGAATTCAAAAATGATCTAATTATTAAATTAATTTTTTATTCACTTAATGCAACGTGCAAATAATGTATATATGATCGAAAGAGAAATTTAATTATTTCTAATGATTATCGAAATATTTGAAAACAAATCTTAAATCTTTGCTAATTACAATGCATAAATTTTGTCAAGGAATTTTATTCTAAAAGATCAAGAATTTTCTTCTGAAGTAGTTGCGGTATTATTAGTAATTCCGAATTCTGCATCAATATTTTGTCTGTAACACTTAATTACTATACCAGTTAGCAAAAATCAAATAAATAAAAAAATTTGCAATTAACTGAATAAAAGAAATGAAATATTTTAATTATTACAGTTATGCAATACTTAGAATATACTCATCTACTAAAATTGCTAATATTAGTTCATAAAAGTTAGGTCAAAAAAATCTTAATAATTTTAATTGTTTACAAATAAACCTAATATAAAAAAACAAAGACAAAATGAATAACAGTTGGAATAAATGACAAATTTTGGGAAAAAATGTTGTAGTTTAATATTCAGAAATGTAAAATCTTCAATCCTACAAAAAAAAAAAAAAAAAAAACCAAAAGAAAAAAAAATTAGCCTTGTTTGAGCAGTTCGTGAATTAGTCACATTTCCACTTCTGTTAACAAATTCATCATCATCGTTATCACTGTTATCACCATGCACCAACCGTGGTAGCAATTCATTAGGATCCATATCATCGTCCCAGTGGATAATACTATCATCATCTGATAGTGATGGAAGTTGTTCATCACTTATATATGTTTCCGCTTCACTTTCTCTTTCATTGCTTTCATTACCTTAAAAAAAAAAAAGAATAATAAAGCAGAACAAATTATCATCAAAGTGCTTTTTTGCATATTTCATAAAATATATTAGAAAATGATTTCCAATATGTTTAACGCTGAAAAAAATTTTTTTTGGTTTTTATAAAAAAAAAAAATGAATGCCATTTCTATCATATTAGAAAATTGAACTGATAAACTTAACCAGAATTATCATTATCGTCGTCATCACTATCATTATCATCATTCACAGGCATATATTGAATGTGAATCAATTCTCTTTCTTCATCAGGTATAACTCTTCCATCACGAAGATTAGCGAAATCCCTTTTTGGACCTGAAAAATTATCAATTTATTCATTTATTACATAAAACTATCTCACTAATTTTATATAAATTAAAAAGTAATCTAATTTCAATAATTTTTTCTTAGTTCAAAAGAAATTTTTTTTAATTACTTGTTGATTATTTTAACGATTATTAAATAATAATTCAAACCATAATAATAATAATATCGCCGATGAATCAAGTCATCGTCCAGTTGTGAAGAAACCATTTTCCCAGTTTTATTTCTACTAGAATATTTATTAAAATATCTTTACATGAAATGTGAAAAGAAATTTTTGAAACATTGTTAGGCAATTTAATTAGTTATCTTTCACAATTGATTAATTTCAAAATAACAATCTATCATAAATTAACTGCTATTAACCTTTCAAAACTATTAAATATAATTTTTACCACTTCCTGATAATTATTTACTTCAATTATTTTATTGATTAATTTCTAGGATGACAAAAAAATATCACCACCATTCCATAAGCATATATCTGTGAAAATTTATCAAGCATATCACAGTGATAAGAATTTACATCATTTTCATTTTGTATAATTCAAAATTATGCATATGTAAATGAATTAGAATTAGTCATGTCAAATACGTATGTAGTTTTGAATATAAAGCGTAAATTCTGCATGAAACCAATTTATGAATGCCAAAATTTTCTTTCCAAAAAAAAGGAAAAACAACTTCTCAGTTTTTTTTTTTTTTTTTTTTTTTAATAATGCAATTTTAGAGATATAATTGCAAATTTATGAATCAAATTTCACAATTTCAAATATCAAATTTCAATTTTAAATCAAAAGTGGATGCATGTATAATGAAATGCTGTGGTTTGAAATTAAATTTTAAATTTCCACGTTACCTTAAAAAGTCGATATCGGAAAAAGACGTGTTTCAAAAATAAAAAGCTTACAAATAGATTAAATATTTATTGATAACGAAATATTGGTTACAAAGTAAATAAGTAATAGTATTGCTCATAGTTATGTAATTTATTTCATAAAAATCAATTTTAGCAAAAAAATTTTTTCCTCCCCAATATATCGTTTTTATGTAAAGCTTTTGAAAGTTTTTCGTTTAATTCGACCGTTGTTCACGTGACGTAATCTCCCGTATAATCGAGATCGTAGATATCGTTGTGACGATCTTCGACGTCGACGTAGACTTCGTGGTGGTAATAAGCGTCTTCCACTAGTTCTCATATGTCTAATATTTCTTCTCTAAAAGATTAAGTACTTTTGTTTGTAAAAAACGCTTAAATTTTTTCGTTTAAATATTGAATGACAGTTATCAAAAAATGGTTTTAAAAATTTTGTTTAACAAAATCTTATAGAATTATTTAACAAAAATCTTATATTGATGAATAGCTATTCTCTTTCCATTCTTTGAATTATTTTTGTTTTTTATTCATGCATGCGTAGAAAGTTTTTAATCTTTCCTACTCAATGATGAAATCATTTGAAGTTTAATGATAACTGATAATGAATAATTTTGTTACTGATCTGATCGGATAATTTCCTTCAGTGATATAACTGATTTGTGAAGATTGTCTCATTGGTTCCTCATTACTTTCTGAACTATATTCAGTATTATTTCGTCTTGAAATTAATGATAATGAACGTTGTCGTTTAGATGAAAAACGTGATGTTCTGCTAAGTGATCTTGGCATACGATAACGTTTAATGCCACGACGTGATCGAACTGAATATCTTTGTTCCGAAAAAACACTGCGATTGCTTTCGTACTGCCTGCTATTTCTAGCACTACCCAGAAACCAACGGATACTTGCTACCTTGTAGCTGTTGTTGTTGCATAGATAATTCTCGAGGATCTGATGCCTCATTTGCTGGTGGCAATTCATCGCGTGTTGTCAATTCCATTCTGAGCTAAAATTTATTTTTATAAAAAAAAAAAAAAAAACGAAATCATTTCTGATTATTTGGCATATTTATCCATGTATAGAAATCTAATATTTATGGATGAAGATATGGAAAAGTTTTGAAAATAGCAGCATTTTTATTTGCATATTATAAAAAAAAAAAAATTTAATTTCAATAAAATTGTTACAAGATTGCTTGAGCTATTCAATTCATCATCACTTCATTCATCATCTATTTGTTGATATACAAAATCTCGAGCCTAAAAATTTGTACAGTCAAATAAATGCAATTACATTTATATTTTCTGATGCTAAATAAATAAATGATGATCAAATAATAATATTTTAAAACTAAGTAGTTGAATCGGTTAAATAATTTTCAATGTATTTAAGTTTGTTTAAATATTATCAAATGGATGTTTAAATCGAAATAATTGAACTCAGAAAAATAAAAATAAATTCTTGTATATTCAGGGGATAGTTGCGATAAGCTTTAAAAAATCGTTAATTGGTTGGTTAGGAATTTTTTTTTTCCTAACAAATTTCTTTAAGTTTAATAAGTTCTGGTTTTTCAATAATTATTGGAAAGTTTTATTTCTAACTTCTTTTTTTCTTATATAAGAATTTAAATTAATTGAAAAATCAATTTTGCAAATTTTAGGATTTCGAATTATTTTGCAATAGCAAAATCCATAATACAAAAATTTATTTAAAATTTTTTATTAGCAAAAAAAGAAAAATAAATGAATTCACAAGAAAATAATAAACATACAATATTCGGATAGCTATGTCGTCGATATTCAATAAAATCTCTTCCAAGACGTTCACGTATGGAACGTGGACTCCATGATCGTGAACCGCTTGCTTTCAAATGCTGAAGATAATCAGGCATTTGATCAAATTCATTATTTCCTCATAAAACTTATGTTGAAATTGTTGTAAACTTTGTAATATCAATTTAATTAAACTTCCACCATTTTTATGCAAACTATCATATAATTATGTGTAGCATTATTATTAAAATTGTTTTGAAAATCTTTTTTTGCTTTTACATAATACTTGATTAAATGATTGAAGTATTTTGCCCAATTTATTTTTCGAGTAATTTAAATTATTCATTTATTTGAATTAACATTACATTATTCATGCAGCAGTATTGAAATGCTTACATTTTCAAGAAAATTTAATTAATTAAACTTGAGGTTGATTAATGATTGCATATTTTATTTCGACAAAAAAAAAAAATATATTGGAAGACAGAAGGTGAAGAAGAAACAAGTAAAATATATAATTAATTCTGCTATTCTTTTTTTTTTTTTGGCTTTTCATTTGGATTAGTTTTAAAATGAACGAACCAATTCATTATTGATGGGTATATTAAAATGATAATTATCAAATAAATCATCATTGTTAACATTATGAATCCGATTCTCATTTCCCATTTCATCAATTCCGTGCTCTATACGATTAAATGCCTCGTTGAATCCAAAAAGAAATGCTCTGGAAATTTCAACAACAATAGATAATTCAATTTTAAAGATCTACAGAATAACAATTAAATTTGTAAGAATATAATGAATATCCGGATTCACGCAAAATTTTTGCATCTGGATTCATGCAAACTATCCGGTTCGTAAGAGTAGTGTAATTATCCGAACTCATGAGGCTTTATAACTTTATAATTTTTCAAGGTAACTTTATGAAAATTCATCCATCAATTTTGTGAGTAGATTTTTTCTAATACAACCTATCAGCAGCATTCTGCAACTGATCACCACTGTGATACCCTGATTCATCAGCTTCAGCAAAATTTTCAAAATTATGACCCAGTAAGTTAAATGCATCCAAATCATCAAAATCGAAGCTTTCATTTAGTAATCTACCAGAATGAATTGAACCTGAATGTGTTCTCGAATAAAATGCAATAATGACTTCACTTCTTTCAAAAAATCGAATAAATTCGAATTCAAATGAATATTTGGAACAGAAAAAAAGGTCATGAAATGTAGTTACTTCCTAAATGTTTTTCAATTAAAAATTTTAATTTTACAAATAATAATTATATTTGATGAAATATTATCTAAATAAATAAATATGGCAAATTATGACAAATTAAATAATTCAGTAGTCGCTATAAGAAAACTCTTTGATAACTCTATTTTCATCATAAAAAGAAAATCAAGCTAATAAGAATTTAATAAAAATTCCTAATCTTTTCAAAAAATGCTGACATTTTTTATTTCAAAACATTTGCAAGATTGTTAATTTCTTTTTACAATAATAATGCTATCAGTATTTAAAAACCTGATTCGCTGTTTGAGGTGTCATGGCTTACTTCATTTAATAGGTTCACATTTCTGGACCTATCTATTTATTAAATGAAACTTTTTAAATTATTTTTAATTTTAAAATATTTGTATGATTGCCAATTTCCTTTTATTTTCATTTTTTGTCTATGTTAATAATTAAGCAATCTTTGTGTTTAAAATTCTTATCTGTTATTTTTTCAGCAAATTTTAAATTTTATTCAAAGTTTTTATTCAATTATGCACTTTTTAATATCACAATCAGTGAGCAGCATGGTATAGAGAAATTGTTGCATATCAATTTCCTACTATTTTCAAATGGTTTAGAAATCTCTCAAAGCACGATATGTGAGAAGTTGATTACGTGAACTACGCTTTAAATACTTTTTGAAAAAAATTTTTAAAAATTTATTGAAATAATTTGTTAATTCAAATAATTTGTTTCCTCTAACAAACTAAGATTTTCCATTTTGATAGAAAATATTACCATTCATTTTTGATGAGTTATTATTGTTGCTTTTGTGATAATTGTAAGCATATGAAATTAATCTCTGGAATCAGAATTTTATCAAATTAATCTAATAGAAGGAAGCACACAAATGTTTTTTGTTATATTCGACCTATTAAAATTACGATATTAGATTGTCAGATTCAATTAATTAAAATGTTCGATTAAATTATGATGTTGAATTATCATACAGCTAATCAATTAAGCAACATTACTTCTGTTGCTTTGAAATTTGAACAGAATGCTAGCCTTTTTATTAATTAATTAACTAATTAATATTAACAGACTATCAATCAATACTTTGCATCACAATATTCATAAAACAGTTGGAATTTTTTAAATGGAGTGTGGTAATGATTCAGTGCATCTCACCGTCAGATATGAAGAAACCACCTCTGATCGGTTACTGATGGTGAAAATAATCGCCAATATTTATGTCACAAATTAATAATATAAAAATTTTGCATATTTGTTATGCTTAATTTAATTTTCCATAACAACAAAAAATCACTTTATATAATTTTTAATAATTTCCATCGTGAAAATTTTTATCTTTTGAAGAAAAAAAATTTTTAAAAAATTTAAAAAGATTTACTCAATTCATTTCAAATATTGGATTAAAATTTTTCAAACAAATAAGACGAAATTATTCACATTTTTCTTCAGTTTTCATAAAAATATTTCTATTTATTCTGTCAACTTTTCCATTTTAGAGAATAATTCGCTTAATTAATCTAAACTGAAAATGGAATAATGATTTCGAAGCAGATGGGGCACTGTCACACATTTATTAGGTGACAATCTTTCATTCAGTAAACTTATAGAAATTTTCATTTGCCATTTGCTGTTAATATTTGTAAATTTGGTACGGTAGATAGGCTTGATGTAATCATTAAGTTATGTCCAAGTTGTTTTCGTAAAAAACTCTTTGTTGTATTAATTCTCTTGAAATTCCATACTCTAATTTAATTAACAAAATTGGCAAGAATAAGTTTATTTAATTAAAAATACAGCCCAAAAAAAATTACAAAGAGTATTTCCTTGATGATGTGATTAAAATCAATGCATGCATGATAAAGAGAGATAAAATGAGTGTTTCACATCGATATATCAGAAATTAAAAATCAAAAAAATCGAAAGAACAAAAAAAAGAAATAAAATATTAAAAAGATATAGTAATTTCTGATGAAATAAACCATATTCTTAATTAAATGATTAAATAAATGAAATAATCAATGAACTGTTAATTTATTTATCGCACACTGATAATATTCAAAAGTGCTGATAAGCCGAAACTTCCAAATACATCGCCAATTTCGGTTTGGCCTAGTAGATGAAATATCACAGATAATGGTAATGCGAATAATGTTAAAAATGGTTCCTTACCTTCGCGTATAACATCAATCATATCATCAATTAATAATCCGGTATTCAGGATCGCCTTGTTATTTTCCAGAAACATTTTCATACCTTTTTCTCGACCTTCGTCTTCAATTTTTAAATCATTCGAAGTCTTATCTAATCCAGACGATGATAATGATGATAATAATGATAATAATGGTGATAGTGGAGTTGTTTTACTTTTTTGCATATCTTTATCGTTTGACGAAATAGCACTAATAATTGTTGGAGTCGATTCAATTGGCTACAAAATGCAAATGTAAAAATTAATTGATGTGAAATTGTTCCGTAAGAAAAATTGCTAAAATATTAGATTTTATTTAGTTCAAATATATTTCATTGAGTTTATGAGTTATTCGTTATCAGTTTGATACTTGAAGTCAAACTTCTATACTTCAATGCAAAATAATTGGGTGAATAAAATTATGCAATGAGTAAGTGGAAACAAATAACATTATTGTCTTAAGATTATTCTATTATTCATTAAGTATTAGATATTTAGTATTTCAGTTAACACATAAATGTAAATCATTCTCCGACATCATTTCACAAATGTAGCAAAATAAGTAATATTTCCAAAAAAAGTAATATCAAAAAAGAATAACACTTCATTTTCCAACAAATTCATAATTACTAATAATTACACTTACCTTACAAAAGTAAACATTGGGAATAATAGCAAGGGTGATAAGAAATGAACCAATCATTTGTTTTATTCTACAATAACTGAAATATTTTGAAATGAAAATGTGAAATGCTTCAGGAAAATATACCTTTTACATTGTTATTCACTGCTATTATTCCTCATTAATCCATAATTTATTCTGCTTAATTTATCATTAAAAAGTGAAAAACAATTTAAAGATCAAATATTTTCGATGTAAATATTTTCTAGTTGTAATTAATTATTGAAGAGAAATTTATGATATGATATGATATGATGATATGGTAATTGAAGCTCATTAAAAGTATTGTAGATGTATTTAAGGTTAAGCTGATTAATTTTAATTTATTATTACAATTACTATTATTGCATACATAGTTTGCAGTAAACAAATGTTATTATTGATTTGATAGTTTTGTTAAATAGTTTAGCATTAAACTAAAAAAAATAGAATCATAAAGAGAATACTTTTATTCAAATGTTTGATAATTATTAATTTAAGATAGCAATCAGTGCTAAAATTTTGCTGTAACAGTTAATAAAAATATTTTAATCAATTTGAGAGTATGAAAAGTAGGCAAAGTTAATCTTGAGATAGGAAAAATTATTATTTAATGAATCATTATTATTTGATAATCAGTTAAGTAAAATTAATCACATACAAATTTAATATATATATTAAAAATTATTCAGTAATCAGCTAAATAAAATTAATTGAAGAAATTAAGAAACTTTTTTTTTCAAAATTTTTTCTAAACTAAGAAGAAATTAGTGAAATTTTTGTTAATTATTTCTAAATTTATGTGTTATGCTAAAAAATTAATGAAATTTGTTTTTTTTCGCGATTATGGAGAAAATATAAGTTCATCTAACGCTGAAAACGAGCGAGAAAGGTCATTGGTATTATCATTGCACTATTATGATATGATTAAATGATATACCAAAATATTTCTAATGAATGATGAAAGGACAAGTGCGCTTGATAAATTAGTTTTCATTCATGTCATATTTCCTTCGGATATATTTTCTTAAATATTTAGAAGGGCAAAAAAGATCAATGTTATATCAAAACATTTATGATTTTATATTTAAATATTAACAATAATGCTTATTAACACGTGTAAATAACGCACAATTAATTTACCAGCGGAATATTTTCCGTTTTCGTCACACATTTTTTGAATATACTTTGCTTGCGACAACAATAATTAACGATATAAACCTTTTATTTTTTTGCAAACTAATAATACTTCTAATAGTAAATGAAACAAAGGAGTTATTGCCTGAACTATCGATTTGTAATTAATTAAGTGATTAGTATAATGTTAGTAAATTCAAAAATTCATTAACTTCATTTAATTATCATAAGCAGAAAGAGAATTACAAAAAGACAGGCAATGCATCATACGTATATCTGTGAGTAATAAACTACGGCAGGTAATATGCTGTGTCATCCAGAATTCTTAATGATTACATAAAAGAGCGATAAGTAATGATAAGAAAAAAAAGCACTACAATTTTATTATAACTTTACATGTAACTAGTTTTACAATAAAAAAGAAAGCTTTTTTTTCTTCAGTTTTTAATTATTTTAAAAATATGAATTGATAATAATGATATTATCATTATTATTACTTCAATTAATTCTGTAAAGTGATAATGTATATTGTTTAGTGATATTATAGAATTTTTTTTTTTCTTTTGTTGTTTAATTTTCAGTTAGCTTTGGTTGCAATGGTATTAAAAGTGGTGCAAATAACGCATCAAAAAAGTTATTAATTGTTTTAACTGTATTAACAAAAGTAATCCAAAAGTCACCGGTGACACGTTGAATAGCACCAAATAAGCTAAGTGCTGGTTCTTTTTTAGCTAATTGCTTTTTTATTTCAATAATTACATCACGAATAATTGGCTTTACCAAATTTGTTAAATTCATTTCATGATCTTCATACATTCTTATTGTTTCATTTCCAAAATTTTCATTCATTTCAATTTCTCTGTCATTTTCAGTTCCTTCTGGCATTCCCAATTTTGTTCCATTTTCAGTTTTTCCATTCATTTCCAACTCTTTTATAATAATAATAATTAATTTTGTGATTAATTCAATTGGCTCCGTAGTTATATTCTGATTAATATCTTCACTGGTATCATTTTCCGAATAATTTTGTGACAATTCATTCTGCAATATACAAATTTTATTTAAAGTTATTTTTTTATTATTGAAATTTTTTTTTCAAATAAAACTTTAGTTTTTTTTTCAGCTTTTTTTAAAGTCAAAATAATAGTTAAAACTGAAAGAATTAAAATGGACAAGTAGAAATATTCATTTCAATTTTATGAGAAATAAAAACATTTAATGAACCGAAAGATAATATATATTCCTAACACCTAAATTCTATTTGCCAATAATCAAACCTTTTTATTCAAGATTAAGTTTTTCATATTAAATAAAACAATTAAAATATTTAGTTTGACGATTACTACAAATGTTTTTTATAAACTTTGGTGTTCCAATTTCCATCATTTTATTATATATATTTTATCTTACTGCTAACTTCTAGCTTTGGAAAATTTAAATTGCTGCTGTAAATTAATGAAATTATTTTAAAGTAATATAATGAAACATAAATAGCTCATTTAAATATTTGCAATATGTTTGAGATGATCAGTTATAAAGAACTTCTAGTGATACGATAAAAGTTTGCATTTGAAAATTTCATGGAATAATCGCAAATAGCTTGATATTTTGATAGTAGTGTAAAAACTAAATTATAATAAATAATGTGCAAAAAAAAATACCTCTGCAAAAGTAGAAGTATAAAGATATACAACGATAATAATCAAGACAAAGGTCAGCTTCGATGATGACATTTTGAAACGAGGAACGCGTGGTTGTTTGCTGTCAAATAATAAACAATAAAATCATTTGTTTGGTCATACATAACATTAACTTTATCAATCAATCTTGTTTATATTTTTGATAATGTAAAATTCGTAAAACCGATTAATTTGAAATTTTTGTAATTTTATTGAAATCAGTTGATTATTTCGTTTTATTGTATATTTTTATGCAAAATACATGAAAATTTTGATAAAACAATTGCAATAAAAATGGATAAATTTGTAAATAATAACTTCGTCAAATGTAAACAATTCATTATTGATTGTTTTATCGCAGTTAGATTCAATAGTTGTCAAAACTTTCATTTAATTTTCCTTTAATTTAATTTAATATTAAGCGACAACAAATAACTACTAATAATGGTGAGAATGGTGGCGATAATAATGATAATAACGATTATTGTTGTTGTCAGTAATAATAATAATAATAACAACAATAATTATAATGATGATAATACCGATGAATAAATAAACAAATAAGTAAATGATATCAATAACGATAACAATAGCGATAATAGGAATAATTAATGATAATAGTAATACAAGAGGAATTAATAAGCTAGCAAAAGTATTATTTCCTAATGTTCGAAATATTACTTTAAATTGCAACTGTTTATATTAATACTCACAAACACATTTTTCATTTTTTTAAAGAAAAAATTATGTTATCAAGTCATTTTCATTATATTCTGAAGGAATTCATACTTTCATACTAATCTTCGAATTTGCTTAAATTGATTCGTCTGGCTTTTGATTAAACATATCAGAAAGATTAATAATTACTGATTTACTGCTAACCCTTGCTTTTAGTATCAATCATTCCACGATTTTTTTTTTTTTTTTTTTGTGATGCTTGCTTATGTAATCAGCAAGCAGTTGCTAATTAAATTGTCACAGAAATTTGATACAAGATTGAAATTCACCATGAAGCTAAGATACAAAGTAAAATTTAAGGCTTCATCAAATTTTAATAATTAAAATGAATTTGTAGAAGAAACAAAGAAAAAATCTTCATGTTGTTGCTAATTTTACAGTTCTTCATTTTATTGATGAATAAATTATGATGTGCTCTAATTTGGGATAATTGAAGTTTTCGATAAAAGGTTTATGATAATTTAGATTATTTTTTTTTTTTTTTGACATTTCATTGAACAGATAATGAAACAGGTAATGGAACAGGTGATAAATACAGATTTAACAGAGGTGGGTAAATGATACAGCATGAAAGAAAAATAATTTAGATAGTAGAATAGGAAATTATATTTCCACTCTAAATATTTCACTATCATATGCCATAATTTTATTCATAGAAATGAATTCATGGAATGAATTAATCAATTAATTAATAGCTTATATTTCATTCCTTGAAACTTAGTTTCGAATTTCTTTTTGATCTGATTTTAAACGTTTAATTTTACAAATATTTAATTTCAGATATTCAATAAATTATGTTGCACTTATCACAAGTATTTGATATAAATTAATTTATTATTAATTCGAATTTGGTTTTAATTTTACTATGACAAGACTTATTCAGCTTTGAATTTATGACGTTCATGCAATATATATGTATTGCATAACCATAATTTACGGAAAAATATTTCATAGTGAAAACTAAGCTAGCAAGAATGATAATGAGTAATACTTTAATTAAAAAAATTTTTTTTGCTATTATTTAATTATCTAAAACCATTGCTTATATGATTAGTGCAATTTTTGGCACAAATTATGATAATGAACTTTTGTACAATATTTGAAATCATTTTGATATTTTATATCATTCTATCCTGTATTATAATTTATTCACTTCATTTCTTAAAATGACATTGATTAGTTTATCATTTCCAATTATGTATTATTAATATTTTCTTACTACATTACATATATTTATGATAAATATTAGAAGTAGGTTTTTTTCCTTTTTTTTGATTTATTGCTACATTTTAAATAAAAATTCAAATTCAAAATATTCCTTTGGCAAAAAAAGGAAAAATTTCATTTGATTTTTTCGTCAACATTTATTTTAAAAAATTTACATATTTTATGAGGATTTGTTGTAATAAAAGAAATTAAGTGAAAATTTTTATTTATTAAGTACATTTGTATGAAAGTAAAAGCTACGACGGATTTTTGTCAAATTGTCAGTTCTTTTTACGTTGTCGTTTCATTATCATTTATTATCATTTAGATAATTACTTAACATTCAGTGCAATATTTTGTTGCAGTAATCTTTTTATTGTAATATATTTTTAAAAAATATAAAAAAAATTTTTGGAATTATATATTCCTTAATTGACGAGTTTTGTTCTGATCTAATTTAAATTTCTGACTGAAGAATTTTGATATTTTTTTCTCTTCTTTTTAGATTGAATTGAAATGGGCAATGTATTAGAACGAAATCATATCAAAGCATCTGCTTTAAATCATTCATTATCATTTGGTTTGTATAAGAAGATAGTAAGAAGAAAATATAAGAAGAAAAGCAAATCATTTTCTAAGGTTTTCACAGAATTTTTGAATTGTTTTATCAGGAAAAAAATGCAATGATATAACTGACAAATTGATTAAATAAAAATCATTTAAAAATAATATTATTGACTTTATCATTATTACACAAAAATGACAATGTACCAAAAAATATAATTTCCTTTCGCAGTATAAAAAAAAAAGACTCATTTCAATATGATCATAGAAATAATTAGTTCTTAAATAAACATAAAAATTGATATGATAATTAATACATATGGTAATATTGAGAAGTAAAACAAAATTATAGAAGTTATTTAGTCTGATGAAGGAAAAGTGATAGATTTGGAGAATGACAACGATATAGATGAAACAAATTCATGGACAACGTTCGTTCTTTTTTTTTTTGCAACTAATCATCGTTTCTTATAACAGGCATCTTTTCTTCATCCTTTTTTACATAATATATGATAGTTAATATATGTAATTATTTCGTATTATATTTTTTTAGGACAAATGTAAATAAGTTTGATGTTTTACGCATACAGTAATATGATTAGCAAATGTTCGGTATATTTGATTCATTTAGCATTAGTAAGAATGGTTCCTTATTATTCCTTATAATAAACAGTATCTTGTAATAAATAATTTCGCACAATAAATAGTTGTATCAAGAATATTATGATAACATAATATCAGTTATATATTAAAATGATATCACAAATTATAGTTCACGAACATATTTTATTTACGCAGAATTGAAAATAAAAGATATTTGAACTGTGTTGCAGGACAATTGGTACCCGATCAGTTTTTAGTGTGAGCTTTCCAACTGGTGAAAGAGAACGAGACGGTGACAGCGAAAGTACCATAAGTCAGGATGATTGTAGAAGTAATTGCAGTGGAAGGTATTATTGTTGACATCAAAATATTTCACTATCAGTTAATCATACATTGAAATGATATCATAAATTGCAGTTGAAAAATATATTTCATTTGTACAAAAGTTGAGAATAAAAGATATTTGAATGTATGAAAAAAAAGTTTACTATTACAGATTAAAATAATTAAATAATTCTGGAATTCACAAAAAAAAAAAAAAAAAAAAAAAAAACACCATTCCGATCATTTCAGATCATCAGCAACAAGTTACAGCTTCTCAAATACATCTGCCGATTTTTCATCATTCGAAAATTTAAGCGAAATATCGGAACATACAATGATGCATCCACGACTTGATGATATGGAATGGTTGAGTGAAGTCCGGCAGTACCATGATCGTGAACCTGTCTTCCGTAAAAAACCTCTCGTATGCAGTCAAGTTCAATGACAAGAATTCCCTTCAAACATTAGTTCCAATTAATATCGTAAAATAAAAAAAAAAAATCTACCATTTCCTATCGTAATTGTAATTTTTTTTTAAACTTGCGCAAAATTCATTAGGTTATCAATATCACTTATATTACTTGGAAAAATTTTGCCTGCATATTAATATTTTCTACTCAAAAAATTGATAGAAAAAAAGTGACAAAATGAGAATTTCTACAGTTTTCTTATTTTCTTAGAAAATCTGATTATTCTGATACAAACTATTCTCAATTATTATCTTTTTCAAAAATATTACTTTTTTTCTTTTTTTTCCAAAAAAAAAAAAAATTGTTACCAACATATTTTACTATATGATTGATTATCATAATACAATTGTAGTGGATAAGCATGCCTTGAATATCGCAATAGCAAAAGTAATTACTACTTCTTTTTATTTTAAAATTATTAGTAAGAAAAGATTAAGCAATTTTAATACATCTTCAGTTCTCTCTCTTTCCTCTCCTTCTCCCTCTCTCTCTTTTACTTCTGGTAAGTTACGTGAATAGATTTTCAAGTAAAGTATTGCAGAAGGCAGCATTAAAGATACGATCACGCAGGATAGTACCACAATTGAAATGGTACCGCCGCTATCATCACTGGGCAATAAGGCAATCACCAAAACCTTACAAAGGTATATATTTCTTATAATTTTATTAATACAAAGTACAATTTTAAAAAAAAATAATAAGCAAATAATCAAATTGTTATATATCTTTTTTTATCACAAAATTAGTTTCAATAAATTTTCAAACAAAAAATTCAATGATAATGCGCACATGAATTTTTCCAATTACATTTATTTTTGCTTAGCTAAATTAATAGAACAGAGTTAATTAATGAATAAGAATAAATAATTGTAATCAGTCGGATTGATAAAATGTACTATAATAAGTATCAATCATTGTTTTTCATTTTTTCAACTCTATCCTTACGTGTTTATATAAATAAAAATTAATAATTTGATTAAATTTCTATAAGAAAAAAAAAGTAAACATAAAAAAGAAAATGATGAAATAATGTGTAATAAAAATTTAGCAAAAAAAAGGGATTTTTTTTAATAAAAATAATTTTCAGGAAGAGATGTATTGAATCCATACATTGATAAAGCATTGGAAGAGAAAAATGTTGACTTAAATATATCTGATATACAGCGTGGCATATTTTATTTGAAATGTACTAATTGCTAAAATACTAACGTTATCAGTGACATGCACAAATTCTATTAATCTTTATTATGCATTAAATTTAAAGTTTAACCATAAGATTGAAGTACTTCTTATCTTCATTTCTTGCTTTTTTTCTTTTATGTTTATGAAAAATTTAATTTCCGCTAATAAATTTGTAGGACAAAAAAAGGAAGAAATTAACGATTTCTCTTTTTCGCTGAAAAATTCAACAATATTTCTTAATTAATTAATTGTATAATGACGTGTGCAGTATAAAAATATGATGAATTTGCATGTTTATCTATTAGAATAGTTATATTTTGTTGAAAATTTGAATTTATTCAGATATATTGGTTCTAAATTTTCTCTTCTATTCATTTCCCCATTAAATTCTCTATGAAATGTCTGATATTAAAAAAAAAAAAAAAGAAATACTAAATAATATATAATTTTTTTTATTTTCCATCAAACAAATTAAGCAACAATAAAAATGAGTCAACGACAGGAAGGCACATATCCAACCCTGATCACTTCAATAAAAACCTAATATAAGATAGAGGATAATTTTAAATTAACAATTTCATAAAATATCAATATCAATAGTATACCTTGTGAAGAGTATATAGGATGACGCGTTCAACTAATTGTGATATTTTCTAGAAATAACATCAAAGATAACATTAGTCATGATTCTAGATTCAAGTAATGATATTACTGAAATTTTGATTTAATTATTTATCGATGCCATCTCTATATTAGAGATCAGTTACACAAATACTGGTTCGAAAAGAACAACAAATTAAAGAAAATTAAAAAGTTGTATAAAATTTAAAGGAAAATATAATCATCTAAAAATAAGCATATAACTTCATAAGTGGTGACAACATCAACCAACAATCAATAATAATGGAACATTAAAAAAAGTGAACCACAAAAGAAGCTAAAAAGTACCACAATATCAATTTCATAATAAAATGATATGCAAAGAAAAATGATCATTACCACTGTCTCTTTCGTAAACGTGGTGATATGAGCGATCGATCCGGAACACTCCAAAGAATCGGTTCCCCTGGGCTCCCAACTGAACGACTAGATCGATTGGATATTAGTGACACATCAGATGAACCCAACAAACTCTTTCCATTCTTATAAGTTAACGGCGTATACCGTTCTGTAATTTCTCCTACATTTATTACTTATATTCTTGGGAGTGATTTTACTGGTAATGCAAATTTCATAACAACAAATACTCATCAATTTTCAATTGATAGCTTACTTTCATTTCATTTCTAAAATATGCACATGTAAATATTGTGTGAACATGAAATGTCTATTACAGCCTATACAAACACTAACTAAAAGAAGAATTCTAACCTGGATAATCACTAGCAAACGATCCATACGTAGCATTAGAATCAGTAGTATAGAACGAGCTAAAGAAATAAGATGAAAAACTGAATCCTCTGCAGTGCGCTGAAAAAAAGAAAAACTACTTAATTCATACGACTGAAAGTTAAATATACAAATAAAAGAACTCTGTGAAACGTGAATAACGATTAATGTGGTATATAAGAACGATTGATGACAGCAATGACAGCAGAAAAACTCACTGATACTTCAAGAATGGGTCGAAATGTAAAACAGGATTAGATATCTCAAACTTATTACTCTTCATTTATCATCAAACATCTTTACAAATGAAAATAAAGACCAAAAGTATAATCAAAGTACCTATCAGAACGATAAGAACTGCAGCAGTAAGAAGTGACGCACATACTTGAACGAATGTTGATTCTAGAAATGAACGCAGAAGACCCATAAAATGGTCAGAAGCTGTAATAATATTAGTTTTGAACAAACAGAAACATCTTAATGGCATTCATTATACCACCACGGCAAAATAACTGTATAGGACCGAAATGTATGAGGAAAAAAAAAAAGTGACAACGTAACACCACGTAAGATACCACGTAAAATAGTTTTTGATGCATCACCATGAAGAACGATAGTTACTGGCACTATTTCAAACTGCCCCGTGATTGCACTTTTGACTGTAATATTGCATTTATCCAATAATTCCTGCCACAAAAGCACTGAATTCATGTCCAACTGAAATGAACTTTTCATTATTAGGTGGCATCAAAAGAAAACAAATTAAGTCTCAATATACAATACAAAATATCATTTTTTCCTTTCTTGCGGTTGAGCTAACATTTGTGTTTTCCTTAACCAATTAACTTTTAAATTAACTATTACTTATTAGATATTACAAATACATACCTCAATACGATATCGTAACTCCGTGAGTGAAGTGGATTTAACTTTCTTTATATGCAAAACACCTCCACTATCAGCTTGAACTGATATTTTGCTAGCAGCATATATGGATGACTGTATAACTAGATCAGCTTCTAGTGCGTTCACATTGTTTAGACGTATCTCACGTTGAGTGATTTCAAAACGTGGGTAGAAAGTAACTATTACGCTTGCTTCCTTTACCTGAAATATTGCTTAAAATTAATTGCTTAATTCAAATCATCCTTTAACTTTCGATGTCAATAAACCAAACATTGTGCTGCAGCTACTTTCAAAACCAAAAAGACAATAAAAAAACAAAAGAAAACAAAACAAAACAAAAAAAAAAAAAAGCAAAAACGTATGCCTAATTGTACAAACCTTGCCAACACGATTCCAGATGGCGGAGATATTCAAACTAAGATTCTGGTAATCATTCAAAGAAACTGGTCCCTCGAATGTTTGTTCCACCAAGATACAACCATATTTACCTAATAAAAAGCCGAAACTCAACAAGTATATCAAACAGATCTTTCACTTTCCTTGCTTATTGATTTGAACAAAGTATTGCAGAATAGAGTATTGATTTAGTAATAAGTACTCTTCTAATTTCTACAAATCCTACTGGCTAGTATGTTTTAACAAAAGAAGCTCTCAGGTTCAGGATATTTAAAACTGCTTTATCCTTTAAAACACCTATATCTAAAAATTTGTAATATCTTGCACTACTGTCAAATCCATAAAACGGGATGAATGAATTCCTTACCTAATGTAGGTAGAAATTTCGAATGAGCAGCAAATAAGCTTGTTGCTAACACACTCACTTTTTCCACAAAAGCAATAATGCAATCAAAAGGTGCATCCAAAATTAGCTCCTCCAATAGCCCAGATGCACAACCTGAATTGCGTGAAACTGTTTTTGGTTTACTAGATCAATATTCATGGAATAATGCGTATGCTTGAATGACATGAATCAAACAAGAAATAACACATAAAACTGCAGAAACAAGTTTGTCTCTGCTATCGGATTTTTAAATTTGCCTGGACGAATTACACTTTTTGTTGCAATTCCTTAGCAAAACATTGGTTTAATTGGAGAATCTCTAATGTACTTCTAAAATATATGCTCTGAGATATTTCAAAATGAGAAATTACGCAATATCATGAAATTTCTTATTTTTCCATCAAATAGAATTGAAATTCATTTGACAGAAATCATTAGCTAATAATAAAAATAATGGGAAATGTACCATAAGTGTTAGTTGGATTCTGTTCAGTGCTATCAACGATTAGTGGAAATACGTATTGATGATCTTTTATATTCGAAACAAATTGCGGTACTGATGAAAACCGAAGAGATTTTGCTGGAACAACTTTGCGCTGCAAAGGAATATGAACTCATCAAAGAATTTGTGTAAAGTTAATGTACTGAAAATGTACTACAAATCGAAAATAAAAAAAATTTTCAAATTTATTTACTACCTCTGACACATAAAATGTTGCATCTGATTCATTATCATGTAATGACTATTACAGAATAAAAAGGAAATATAAGCATATAATTCACGATTGATCTGTTTCAAGTGCTCCATCTAGAATGTATTATTTCATTATTTATTAAAAATGATAGTAATGACAGAATACCTTAGTAAAAATGGTTTGTTTCTGTGAATGATAAGAAGCAACTACGGTGCTACCAGTATCCACTGCTACAGCAATACCATTTGATTCGTCGATGAATTGGAAATGTCGCTTTCCATCTAACTCCTTCCATCCAGATACTAACAACGGTGAATTGAAACAAATAATTTCGGAGACGGCCACAGAATGTATTGATGGCCCGATTACATCATCCACCGGAAGACGCAGAAAAACATTTAGGTCCGGATTATTTCTGTCCCATACCTCAACAAAATAACGATATTTCGAAATTATAATTAACTCCTTGCAATTGCTAGCAGTTTGGAGAAGGAGTAAGTTAGCTAAAAATTAAATACTGAACATGAAAGAATAAAATAAAATCATAAAAATATCGATCAAAATAGACGGTTAGGAAAAAATAGCTGAGAGAAAGGAAATCTGTCAATTAACTCACCTTAAACACTGTTTCGCCAAAATCCTTTAGATGAATATCAAATGAACTGTTAGCGTTCCCAGGATGAATTTCAATCAAATCAAAACTATAACAAAATATTAGTGGCTAGGAAAAACAGAGATATTAACAGAAATATTTCAGACAACTCATGTGAACTCTTTTTCCGTAAATTTTTTCATTAACACTATAAATGGTTGTAAACAGAAAAGATTCCTCTTTATGGCCTAAAATATAGATGGAAATAAATAAAACTGGAAAGATAGAAGTATTTCCGTACCTCTGACTATATTACTCTTTGTCAAGTGATGAACTTAAAAGGACTGACGAATTCCCAAATTTCTAAATTATCAAAATATATGGGAAAATCCGGATGAACTTAATAAAATAGCATTACCGATGAGGCCTGTAATTTAGCGAATGCTTCGCAGCATCGAACAGACGGCCGAAGTGATCTCTTGACTCAACATCAACATGCAGACGATAACCGAGAGGAAAAAATGCTAATGGTTTTTCCAGCACTTCGGGAGATTTAATCTTCAGATGGAGGGATACTACTGGGGTAACCTGCAATTTCCATACTCAAAAGTAATGTAGGCATTGCATTACGAAAATCAGAATCCGAAAAATAAAAAATAAAATGATACATGAACCAGAGAAATTGAAAATCTTTTCAATCGGTTATATTTATTAACTCCTAATGAATGGATTCATATTTTGAGCTAATTTTTCTTACAAAATAAGACAGTTGTGCTATGAAACTAATATAACTTACGGAGACTGGTAAATATACAAGCTCCTTATGAGGATATTTTGTTTCCTTCAATACCAAAGCAGCATCACCAACAGTATGAGCTAGTAAAGTGCTGTTGCTATCACCGATAACTGATATATAAGTGGAAAGTTCTGGTGGTACCATAAATTGCACTGAGCTATCTTTCCTGAAAGCATTAAATATGTTTACATCAGTGTCTTTCTTATTATTATTTTTTTTTTTTTAAATCGTATCAATATGAAAGAAAATGTAATAAATAACAGTTATCTTGGGTAAAAAATAAATCAAAAGATTATGCTTGAATCATTGTCAACTATAGTTATATTTAGACATAATAATGGCAGTATTAGAAAAAGAATGATTTTGAGAATGATTTTTTGGAAATGCACTACAGGAATGATTTTGGATTATGATCTACATAAGCAAAAATTTTGACCAAGTTCCAAAGCGTAATTAACGCATGTCGGCACTTCATCAATAATGAAAACAGTGCAGTAAGGATGAAATAAGTGTAATTCAAAATTACCTGTTACTTTTTAGAGTAAGTTCTGCATCCGGAGACAAACGTAACACCTGATGATATCGTGGTGGAACCGTTAAGTGTAACGGCTCAATGACAGTCACTATCAACTGATCTTCATAATATTTGACTTCTTCGGAGAATGCCTTCGAATTTTCAGGAGTGCTCACTAATACGCGAATCACTGCTTGCCCAACTGCCAATGCTTGTAGTTCTATATGAAATCGATTTTCCGGTGATTCAGCCACAAAAGTCTGTAAGTGATATTTACCATTATGAATAATTTGGTTAAGCTAGCTTTCCTTAGGAAACTACTTTATTGCAATCATTTTGCAGCTTTGATGGCAAAGAATGACGCACTGTACTGCAAACCCTCTTAATGAATATGTTACATCCTGAAATTGAATTAATTTAAAACGAAAGGTCCTCATGCAGTCCCTTTACAGGTTTCATTCAAGGAGCAGTGGTGAATACTTACATCAACTGGTGATACAGTTTCGATGATGCCTGGTGTAGCGATTCTCCAAGAGATTTTTAATGGGTACAGTGCTCCACCGAATGAAAACGGTGTTTCATTTTCATTAAGACCATCAACACGAACCCACCCTCTTTGACCAACTTGTATCTGTGATGTAGAGAAGTGTATACGGACTCCAGTAAGCAACACTGTTTTAACAACAACTTCATCCTAAAATATAGTTTTCGTAAGGTATTCCTACTGCAAATACAACATCGGAAGCCATTACTTAATTCCTTTTTAAATAGATAAAGTATATGTTGTATTTACAGAAATTTAAGGCAAAAATGAAACTACTTGAATAGAAGGAGCAATATTGCCCAAGTTAACAGAGCCTATAATTTTCGCATATCCAACTGCTTTGCTTGTTATCAGCCCATCTGATCCCACAGCAGCTACTGAAGTATTATTGAGATGATACTGCACCGATGGTAATGGTTGAGGTCCACCAGATATTTCTAACTGCAATGATAGTGCTTTGAATTATTAAATCATCGCTTCTTCAACTGATAACTTTTGACATCTATATCAAAAATACTCATAGAAGGGGAATTTCACTGCCTTAAATCTCCGTTTACAAAAGTGAGATTTTATTCTAAAAAGTGAATTCAGTCACTCGAATTCCAATATTGCATTAATTAACAGAATGCAGCAGAGTTTTTTCAGTTATACAATGATTGTTCAAATTGCTCCAAACAATTTTCATAATAAGGATCAAGATCAAATGAACTGTGATACTTGGAAAACAGAATCAGGAATAAGGGTTATCAGTTTTGGTTGTAATTGTAGCGGTGCATAAACTTGAATGCTATGAGATTGACTTTGTAATATCCGTCCATTAGCACGTCGAGCAGACGCACGAAGTGTTACGACACCAACAACATTACCTCGCAGGATGTAATGTAGAGCATCAACCCTTAAATAATTTTTATATTTAATTATGAAACTTTCGAAGTTTACATTTTGAACAATGAGCAGTATTTACCTACATATCATGGATATAATGGTATATGATTCAAGAGAGAATTTTTCTGGATGAAAAATGAAATAAACTAAAGAAAGTGCAAAATACCTGGTTATTAGTAAAACATTGGATGACGCATTCAGCTGTACATTCATGATATCGGCATCATCGGTTATGAAGAAAAGGCCTTCCATATCACGAACTTTAAGTATCAGTTCTTGTTCGGTGTTCAGTGCTAACTACAATAGAAGGTCCTGCTGGAGGTATCACTTACGAAGAATAAAAAAGCAATGAATTAATTGGTTAGGATCACAAAAAATATGATGTTTAGGAAATACTGATACTTACAAATCCGGGTGCTTCGATCAAAATTTCTTCTACATCGGTGATCGAAATTGTAGCTGTGAAGTTTTGGTTAAGACATAAGTCCGAAAACTGGAGCTTCGATTTACCAACAGACAATGGACGCACCTTTAAAGAACGTTATCAAAGGACTACAGATACTAGTGATGTGGTATATGTTTAGAATATGTAGAAGTACAGCATGAAATCAATCAAGTTCAAAAAATATAATATAATTTCTTCACTTGCGTAATCCCATTGGACATCTCAGCTTCCAGCAGGCTGGAATCATAATCCATTAAAGCAAAATGTCCTGAACCATGTTCCAATCGAATAGCTTTTGAGGCACTCTTTTCATTTAATAATACGACCAAGGACGGTATCGCTTCCGCATTTCGGACCAAAACTGTCTGCATCTTACTTTGCAATTCTTGCGGAAAATAAAGTCGTCGATTTCCAACTTTATATTCTCGAGTTGATGCAACAATTTCTACTTTACCAACAATTTCACGTGGTTTGAGAATGCCGCGTACTAAATATTAAACTGATTTAGATAAAGACAAATAAAAGTTAATTCAATCAGTTCCCTGATATATCTCGAAACTATTAGCGCTTCGATATAAAAAGGAAGTACCATTATTCCAAATGATTAGAAAACTGCTAATGGGACCCTAACAAACAGATATGCATATATTTAATTTCAAAAGAACTACCTTCACTTAATTCGCTTCTCTTATCTTCTTCCACGTCCGCTACATCTTTATTACTTATTTTCCAACTCATTTTCATGGAAGTCAACGAATCAAGCTGCTTTTCCAATCCCATCGATGGTCCCGATTCGCAATGTCCAAAAGCTGACACTGCTAATGTAGATGGTTGACTGCAGCTAGCAGCGCGCTACAATACGAAGTTCGGTAAAACGATTTCTCCAACTCTTCCTCAACTTTTTGAATTTATTTAGGAATGTTCCTTTTGAATAAAAGGAACACTCCTAAATAAATAAAATTAAGGAATATAAAAAGATTTTACTATTGGAAAAACATATACCACATTTGTCGGACATTTACTTTGATAAGGCCTCAACAAAGATAATGATAGTCGTGTGGGCAAACCACAACACATTCTCAATTTTGTTTCAGCCTTAGCGGGTAGTGGATTTGTAGAAGAAGCTTCATTACCAACAACAACTATGATAAGCTGAAAATTAGGTTTAGAAATAACGAAAAAAGAAAAGATTTTTTGAAAAATTGGTATTGATAATGGTGCTAAAACATTTTCTTCAAAGACATCGACATTATTACTATTAACGATTATAACAGCGAACGGAAGAAATGAAACTGCTTATTGCTAATAGCGTGAGATCTTCCCAAAAATTGTTTACATGAAATATCTCTGTGGACATGCGTCAGAGGTAAGCTGCTGAATGACTACACACTTTAATCATATTCGTTTCGATATGATATAAAAAACTTACCACGTCTCCTTTATTATCTTTACACGTGACAATAATCCGTCCATCCTGAGAAGAAAAATCACCATTACTGATCAGATTTGATGTGTCACTGTAGATCACTGTAAAGCAACATTGTTAGAAACATGAAAATCGAATTCAGAGTTCAACACAATTACCACAAAGACAAATTACCAAATTACATTTTGAGTAATATTTCGATGGATCCAAAATCCATGGTCTCGGACCACCAAATGTACGAATAAAAAAGCTGCTACCGAGCATAACAAATATTTCTGTAGGTGTTTCCAGCTAAAGAAATCATTAATTTAGTCAATATGAAAGTCACTTAAATATTTACTCTTCCTTAGAACAAGTAGTAAACAGCAATCTATATCAGTAAAGATATTTACACTCAATAACGACTTCTGAAAAAAGAAACCTTCAATGGTAGATAAGCAGAAATCTGAACGGATGCAGACATATTACCAAAGTGAACTGTTGCAATGGTATCACCAGAAGCAACAGCAGTAAGTACAAAACCGCAACAACTGTCATCGTATGAAGACATTCTTCCACAACCATCTGAATATTTATAATGAATGCCATCTGAATATATATATATATATATATATATAAACTCAGTACCTTCTTTTAAATATACCGAAAATTTTAGGCTATTAAACAGCTCACCTGAAGCTAATCGAAAAATGTCATTATCCTTTATTCGCATTGATAAATCAACACGACGACAATCGGATATAGTCACTTTTTTACCTCCTGAATTGGCGTAAAGAGAAATATATAGGATTAAGTCACTACCAACCTAAAATATTTCAACTGAACTAATTTGGTCATACATAGTAATAGCGGTTTTGTATTTGCTTATTTGAATGTTTGGAATATTTTAGTATCCATCTTTGATACGATGACCATAACTTATTGAACAGTTTTGGTCTTTTTAAAATATGAAAAAAAAAAGCATTCTAAAATATATGTTGGCTAATATATGCAGAAGCCTTACACTTTAGAAACCTATAATTAAGCAATAAACTAATGAAGATAATATTTTGTTTGTAGATAACAAAGAAGTTTACTATTCTATTTAAAAACTATTTAGGAAATATTAAATTCATTTAACATACTTCGGCTTCTAAATGTGACCTGCCGAAAGCAATTCCAGTTGGTTGTAAAACCTGAATAATTGCTTTTCCAAAATGAGCATTATTTTGCGCATCCTGTGCAATCACTTCTGTGTTACCAAGATTTGCAGTCAACAGAATTCCGCTAGAATCTACTGAGGCAATTTCTGGATTCATACTTGACCATGTAAACGATCCCGTACCACCTCGTGTCTGAAATTGTTACCAGTAATAAAGATACCGTTGACGAAATAATACTGTTAATGGAAAAAAAAAATCTGAATCATAATATTTTAAATTTAAATATTATTATAAAACATATAGGAAATAAACCAAAAGCTTTTTAGAATGGATTCTTTTTGCATCGATGTATGGGAAAGCGATGAATGGCGGTATCACTTCAATCGGTTCTGATATCACTGCAGTTACTTCATTTTTTACCGATGATGATATCCTCAACTCTCCTTCCTGCAAGACAAAATTTAATACATTACTTTAATGATCGCCATTCGCTTGCTCGTAAAGGATCTATAAACAAAGCAAAATATACGTTTGTAAAATGAATTAACATCGTATATATTCATGATAAGAGATATAATATTCTGCGTCATGTGTGAAAGTACCCAATAATACAAAAGAACTAACCGAACTCATGACTGATATGAATGATGCTCGCAGCTTCGTGGTTCCACTCTTTATAGCTTTCACATTAAAATACGATCCATTATGTGATCTTCTAATCACTTTGAAATATTCTTCAGATATAACACTTTCGAAAATTGCATTCTATAAAGACATATCATCAAAGACTATACGCAATAAATAAAAACAAAACGATGTTCTATAAGACAAAATATAAAATTTATAAACAACCTCTGGGATATATATGACATTATTATCAGCATCAGCCACAATAAAAGAAATATCATATTCGCGTCCTATCTCCAAATACCATAAATCACCGCTAATTCTGATATATAAACTAGATGGTTCAACAACATGGATCCGAGCAGATGGAGGCTTGAGAAAATTTAATGATTTTACATCTAGAAAACAAAGAAATTGTATTTCTGCAGCAGCGCATAAACTTGGAATCCAAAATGTCACCCTTTAGAAATAGAAACAACATTTCCGAATCTCATGATATCCTTAGAACCGATAAGTGAAGAAATTCAAGATGTTTTTTTCTTTTTCATTAAAATGTGATTAGATTTGTTATATATGTTAAAGACTTGTTATATATGATGATGATGGTTGAAAACAAGAAAATGACTTCCACTTTGTGTTGAAAAAATCTAACTTTCATCAATCAGCGATATTTCGGTTGTTCCGTAACTTATGGCTGTGACCATAGATGATGAAGAATTCAACGAACAAATTTCTATATCTTTAATCGATAGATGATACTGTCTTGATGGTAAGTATATTGCTGCAACATGAAACATAATACTCCAGGAAAACATTAAGTTATTCCAAAAAACAGCCTGAATTCATAAAAACAAATAGGAGATATAAACTATGAATAAGTAAGGTATAAAGATCCTACCTTCTGTGTCACTCTGCTTAATTATTTCTGCAGTATAATGTACACGTGACCCAAGCGGAAGAAATATATCCTGAGAAGGTATCAGCAAGAGATTCGCGACTACTATGAAATCCACACTTTGAGGTTTTACATCCTTAAAGAAAAATCACTGGTTATCCGACATTGGTATAACGAAATTGATATAACAAACAGATATCATGAAATTAATAACAAACTTTAAAATGCGGCTCAACCAATTTTACTTTCAAAACAGCAGCACCTGTGGATATACCTTCAACTAATATCACATAGCCTGGAAAACATTAGAAGATATATGTACTCGCAGACTTACTATTCCTTCAGTAATATTTTTTGTCCATAAATATGAAATATACTATTTAACAAGACGTATACGAAACAATGTTAAGCATGAAATACTAACAATTAAGCTGTCCAACAAGTACATCTAATATGAACTAATCTGTATTTTTTAATATAATCAATTTAATAAACAGGAAGAAAAAAAAAACTCTGAACAAACAAAAAGCCAACCGCGTTTTTTATTTTCTTCAAGCAAACGCACGCCATCAGGAGCTTCATATTTTGACTGCGAAAATGGTACAATTCGAAGAGGTTTTTCGGATAAGGATGATGATTCCAAATACCATTCAAAAGGAATTTTTCCAAGATTAGTGAACATATCACCTACAAAAATATTTACCCAAAATTTGGGAGTCAATTGTTTTACCCAGGTGTCCACTGCAACTTATTAGAACAGCACACATGAAGAAAAAATATAGGGTTAGCATGCTTCACAATGCTCAATCAGTAATCAAAAAATAAAAAAAGAAAAAAAGCGGATGTCAGGAGGAAAGAAAACAAGGTAAAGAATTTATAATTTATCTTCTATCATAAACATATATCTCAACTTGAAATTATTCATTGAGAAAAACGCTTATCAGAGAGCCGACCGCATAATTTTCCATCCCTTTTGCTAGCTTACAATTCAGAAATTTAGAAATGATAGTCAAGTAGCAACCTTCAGCATTGTATGCTTGTACAACGATTTTTGCTGGTGAGGCATCCAGAAAAAGAACTTTCGTAGTGGTTGAAACAGAAATGCTTCGTATAACGTCAACTGTCACGCCACAGCTCAAAACTACACCAGCATCTGCATGAAAAAAAGCATGTGTAACAGAACCGTTATGAAATCTCGCAGATTGAGAAGTTCCATCAGTATACGAAATTAAGGCATTTTTCTAAAATGTCATTTTAATTCCAGAGTTTCCAGAAATCTAGAAAAAAACAAAAAACAATCGAAGTCAGCGAAACCCACGGTAACAAACAAAATACGAAACGTAGAACCGTAACTAATATTAAAGATCAAGGAAATAGCATCGAATTTGGCAGGCAGCAAGTATGACTCTGTAAACATAAACAAGAGTAAAATTCGAACTCCTCCTCAAATTTGCATGATTTCTGGAATTTAGCTGATAAACTGACTAAGTATAACCTTTATCTTCAGCAAAAACAACAGCCATCTGCTCCTCAGCATACTTCGAAGTCGCTATAATCTGAGCCTTTGCTGAACATCCCTTCGTTCCTACTGGATTTACTCCTTTTACTGATACAGTGTCTGGTCGAGTCGACCTCCTAAAACAGCTTTTTCCAACTATTCAAAATTTTTAATGACCAAAAATCAACACCCGTCACTAGAGATTTTCAACCAGAAATCCTTTTCAATTAGAAGGCTTTTTTAAGTTTATAAGCACTTGATTAGATATAACCAGTGTCTTGCTCTAGCACTTAGCCCTTGGCCAACTTGAAGAACCAAACGAAATATTCCGTAGGATATACATACCATGTGAAACATCCATTTGCCGGATCACTAACAATTAAGTCGAAAGTCACTTGAACAGTGGGGTGATAGGGTAACAGCACTCGTGGCACATTTAACCGGTAACTGTCTGTCAGCAGTATTGCGTACCATAATAACAACCGAAGCAACAAGCAATGAAATTTAGTCATCTATCTAAAAATTACATATGCATATTACTATGAACATTTCGGGTGATGATACTTCCTTCATTTCATTAGAATGTAGCACGTTTAATTAATCTCGACGAAAATGGTTTAATTTATTTTAAACATAAGCATAGAGGACAGAGTGTGCAAATATCCATTTCCAAACAATAAATATCACTTCAATAACAAAGAAAAAAGGGAAACTTACAATTTCATTCCAATTTGTGATCGATTGGTTAGCTCAGATCTCAGGTTAATAAAGATTACTAATGAAATGTTATAGCAACATATCTTCTCCACAACTGCGTTAATCTACTAGCAAAGTTATTAAATTTAAAAAACCACTAAAATCCTGCAACTTAATTTCTTTGCATGAAGAGTATTTTTGTGTAACAAAGGAAAAAACTGACAGTTTGAAAAACCAAAAAAAAAGAGTTCTTTTTTTGAAAATTTTGCAATACTTAATGTAATAATTACCTGATTGGGCAGGAAAATTGACTGAAAGAAAAAGACGAAGAAAATGAATGACTTTTCTTCCTAAAAGAATCGAATTAATCACTATGGTGTTAACCAAATGTATGAAATTTTAAATCATTTTAATGAAAACTTAGAAATAAAATTTAGGGCAAAAACAGAAGAAACGACAAAATTACAAAAATGTGAAAGATAGCTAAGGAAAGGGAATGAACAAAACAACATTTATCATTCTCAATATATTATAGACTGATATTGGACGATTTAAATTTTTATGAAATTGGTGAAAAATTTTTTATGAAAAATTTTATCATTCTCAATATTACAGACTGATATTGAACGGTTTAAATTTTATGAAATTGGTGAAATTATGATGCAAAATGAATACTGAAATTATGATACTCAAAAAAATTCGAGACCTGAAATGACACGATTTTAAATTTACGACATGATTTTAAAATTTGAAAAGACAATATGCGAGTAGTTTGAAATGAAACTCAATTATAACCCGGGCCGTGAAATACCTATGACCCCGAATTCCTTTAGTAATAATAGGCTATTAGACTGATAATTAAGGTTTACCGCTGTAATCGTAGAACTAAGTTGGGGGATAATTTGAAATTTTTAATCAAACAAAGTGATAAGCTGTTGTATGATATGTAAATATATATTGGATAACGGAAATAATAAAAAACAGAAATGAAACTGTTGCAAAAATATTATGGAATTTTGAGAGAAATGTTATAAATTGATGAAAGTATCGGGAGAAAAAGAAAATTGATTGGCTTATAGTTATCTTTGATTTTCATTATGTAAGTAATATTTTTGCTTTTTTTTTTAATTTCTAAATTTACATTAAATTAATTTGCAATGGGCATAAGTTAGAGAGGATTCAATTCACAAAAAAAAAAGGAAAAAGGAAAGATTTCGAAGTGTTTCGCTTTTCAATTTGATACTTCAGAAAAACTTGTTGAAATAAAAACATGAAAACTTCATGCTCGTTGGACATGAGATTTAATTTTCAATTTTTTTTATGTTTCCATGATTATTAGTGGTAGTGGATTAAATGCTATTTTGAAGTTTCTGGCTGCTCAATACTGCCGATTAAAATTTGATAAAAAGAAAGGATAAGGAGGAAATTATTAGGATAAAGACATAGGAACAGAGACAGTTAGTCGCTTAAACGACCCCTTTCTTTTTAGTTGAAAATTCGATAGGTAACGAACTGAAATATAAATATGAGATAATTCTTATATGAAATACAGAGTGAATTTTTAAAATTTTCATTTAAAATTTTCACTATCAACCGTTAAATGCAACTTTTTATTTGTTAAAGCAATAGTAATAAATTCTATTGATACACTGGAACTTTAGAACATTTTATATTTGCTGTAATTCTACCTATGGCTTAGCTTCTCGAACGAAGAATTCTGAAGAGATTTACTCATAGTACAAATGCTTTGGTGACTGTGTAGGAAATCAATGCGATATAGCAAGTGCAGATGACATAGCGGAAGGTCACGTCACAGCGGCATTGATGGCGTGCGATTCTTAATGCGTTGTCTTTTTTTAATGAAATAGTTCCTACGTTCGTTTTCAAAATGGTGACAATGTCATAGACATTATGTTTTATTTGATTTGAGGTTTACAGTGGTTGTAACCAAGACTTCTTTTTCGCTATAAATTCAGGAAAGCATCTTGAAGACGTGACGAATTCAGTCCTAATTAGGCCTCAGTACTAGTAGTGAACTCTGTTTGTTCGGGGACGGTGATATTCGTGACGTGGTTGACGTTTAGGATGGTATGAAAGCAGCGCTGATGGAAGGAAGGGTTTGAGGAGTTGTAGATGGTATCATTAATGCTTCTGCGATAGTGGGTAATGGTTCACTTAGAGGTAGGTATTCATGAAGGAATTTCACCAGGCATACAGAACGAAGTAATACCTCGATAGTTTGAGTAGTTGGATTTTTTCCCATTCTTCTTATACAGATAAGAAGAATGGGAAAATATACGATAATAATTGCATCTCGGAGATTCAGTGGAAGGTTCACTCGTGGAATTAAGGATGAAATACTTGGCCTCCGTGCTTCCAGATGCATTTGCTGTATGGCCTTGAAAAAAAAGTTGGGCCTATGTCCAGTTTAGTTTTCACTGATTGCTGAGTAATCTGCGAATTATTGAATCGTTAACTGAACGGTGGACATTGAAGATCAAAACATCGACTGAGAATGGAGTGTTTATCGATGAGGAAGGAACTGCTATGAGAGCTGAGAAGAGAACTGTCACCCTGATATGTTCGTCTATAAACTGCTTTCAAAACTTTCAGAGTGCTCTGTAGTTGCCGGGATCTAAAATTGAATCTTTTGTACTAGATTAGTCCGCCATCTGTTCTCGATGTCCTAAAATCATTTCTGTTAAAGTTTGCTACTTGCAAGACGAAAAGTTGTTTTCCTTCAGTGGATTGTTTTCATTGGTTTTTTTTTTGGTGAGAGTCCTAAGCACTCTGCAGAGGACTGCTAGATGCAATTTTTGATGAGTGCAAGAGGAAATCTATGGAACACTCTGCAAGTCTGCTTAGGGTAGTTAACCTGGAAACTATTTTTTCGAGGTTGCAGTAATTAGTTTTTAGCTTTTTCATGGCTTGGCCTGAAAGTGAAGTTCAGTTTGCATCTATAAGGTAGTGATTTATTTGGCATCCTGTATTAGGCATCACTAGGGTATCTATCCTTTACACTTGACCTGCCCGGATTTGAAATTGTGATTGTCCTCCTAAAATGATTACCCCAAAGCTAATGTGCCATTCTAATCAATTAAGGCCTGTCTGGCTTGCCGAAGACATATGATATCTCGATATGGCCCTTAACTCACAAAGGCATGCAAGTTTCTCTCTCACAACAGAAGTTATCCAGTATTGCTACTTCCCAAGCAAATAATTCAGAACAGTTATTAAAATAAATTATTCAAAGATTATACATTTGATCATACCGTTGAAATAATAAATAGAATAAAAATAAATTAACAATTTCATAAAGAAATTGGAATTTGGATTATTAATGAAGCAATCAAGCAAGGATCAAAGCATTTGATACTCAATTTTTTGGTTTAATAAAAATGGCAAATTGGATCTTAAATTCTATTTCATTCATTCACTTACAATAAAATAATTCAAAATAAACAAGATTTAGAGTTTCACTGAGACTAATTTGATAGCTTATTTTTATAGGGAATGGTCGGCCAAGAGCATTTCATGGCCTAGATCATGCTTACATATTTACAAATGGTTACAGTAATAATTTGTATATTGAACCATTCAGTAAAAGAGATCAACAAATGGCTAAAATGCTTGCAACAATGATTACAAATTTTGCCAAATACGGGTTAGATTTAAAATACAATTAATGTTTTAATATGTAAAATAATAAATGTTTCATTCATTCTAATTAAAATTCTCAATTTATGTCAAAAATGAAAAACTAATTCGAATGATATTCCAAAAATAACAAATTCTACATCGACTTGACGCCAGAGAAACATTGCAATGACTGAAAATTTTTAGATCACTGAGGGTGAAAGATTCACATCTGGCATGTAAACATCTCCTGCACTTAACTTTTTTATACCTTAACTTTTTGTATCACAATCGTACCTCTTTTCTTCACTGCACGACTATAGCTAATGAAAAAATCAAAAAAGGAAAACTTTAACTGTCACGTCTTATCTAAATAGAGAATTTGAAACTCATGCGTAGAGGAGAAGTATCATAAAAACAAGTCAAATTGATAATATCTAGCATAATGCATGCATACCTGCTATATATATGTATGTAACAAGTTATAATTAAGAGGAATAGTAATGTTCGACCCACTCATCTTCACCTCATCTAAATTCTCCAAATACTCCAAATAATGTTATTCCCTCTCACCCTAAATGTTTAAGATGAACAAAAATACTTTATTTCTGCATCCTACAATAGTTTTAACTCAAATTAATTCTAATTTATAATGAGATAATTTTCCAAAACAAAATCACCCAGTAAACCTTTGAAAGTATTTCAAGATCACACAGCTCTACAGATGAATAAAGCAAAGAATAAGAGATACTGATTTTACCCGACATAATCATACGAATCACGAAAATACAATACAGTTAAACCTAGTAATAAGAAAAACTCAGGTATTGCTGCAAGTGATCAACTTAGAGGATTCTTCACTATTATTTCTTAAATGGATTTTTCTTGCTGAAAATTCTCAACAGCTTCGATTGCAGCTTCTTATGCAGTATCATCGTCGTCGTCCTCAATAAGATCAATATTTTCAATATCCTTTTCCGTATCGGAATTTGATTCAGTATAATTACTAACAGAATTTTGCAGCAATTTATTATAAGCTGCCAGAAATAGTTCGACTTCATCTGATACCAATGAGGCCATAGCGCGCTGAAAAAGACGTAACTAAATCAAGTCAATTAAATAAGTTTTAAAAGCTGCACCAACTTGAATTATTTACAAACCCAATATTCAAGGATTTTCAGCTAAAGTTTTTCTAAAGGCATAAATTTTACTCCAGCATATTAAAGAAACTATAAGAAGTTCATAAGTTATATTTAATCCAAATGTAATACTGACATAATTTGAGATTAGCAAAAAATGCTCATTGACATATTATAGTCGGCAACCAACAATGCTCAAATAATTGCAGTTATGAAATGAAATCACCTGGCAAAATATAGCAACAATTCGGGAAGTTTTTCAAACACTTCAAGCTACTTCAAAGACTTAGCTTACCCTATGAATTGTTTGTAACGTGAGTGGCTCATATTTCAACATAAAATTCGCATAGTCAATCCAACATTCGTGTGCCTTTCTTCCAAATTCTACAATCATTAACTCAAAAGCCTGTGCAACAAATTCGATTGACATTTGCTTTGATTTTAATTCAAGCTTGATAAATGTTTCAATACTGATGAACTTCAATGCTGAAATAAAAATTTTTGTTAATAACTCTGCTAGAAAAAATGGACAATAAAAAAGAATTTTCTTTTATTTCGTCAATTAACAAAGTTAGGAAAAGTGGGAAAGTGGATGAATAGATTGTCCAAGACGTGCTATTACATCGTAAAGAAACTAAATAAAAATCTTTTTTTAAAGAAATCGAAAACACAATAAACTCAACAATCAATTAGATTCCATTTTCAAAATTGAGAAATTTGTGGTGGTTTGGCAGTGAAGCAGACTGCAAATAATTGACAAACTACAAAATATTGGGAATTCATTACCTGTTTGGTGGATGTTTTGCAAACAGGAAATATTCTTCCCTTAGTTTATTAGGTCTATCATGATAAACAGAAGCCATGTAACTGAAAATTATTATTAGTCACTGGAGGAGAAATTTCAATTATCAAACATACTGTGATGCAGCTTTGAAGCACTGCTTCTCTAACTTTTTGCTCTCTCATCTTTTCTCTTCTCAATCACTAACAATATTAATCATTGTTTACTACTATCACTCAGTTGTTCACTGTTATTAAATCTCAATAACTGAAAGGCAAAAAAATAAAAGGTCATTCAATGTCTCTTCACACTATCAAAGGAATAGAGGCAGAGACCATCTAGGCTATTAAGAAACTAAATTACAACAGAAAAAATCCCTACTTCAAACGAACACATCGCATTTGACATGCAACTTTCGGTGTTGTACGAAAAGTAGCTTGTCTGAAAAAATCATCCACATCATCTTCCGAGTATTGATGCGCCCAATCGATGATTACTTTGTACATGCTAGCAAGACCATAACTTCCATCATATGCCTTAAACAGTTAACATGTTTGACAATTCGAAGCAATACTACTACCTTATATTATTAAAATATCCAAGCAGCAACTAATATTCAAAGCTATAAAAGCTTAAGTTATTTCAGATGCTACAGCATTACTAAAGACTTCATCAGTGTATTTCTTTTATTTACCACACTTGCATTTATCCTCAAAAATGACACTTCTATGGATCGACACAAGTACACATTGAAAATCTGACAAAAGACTGACGATTCCGTCAACTTGACTCACCGATTGACGGTGATTTAAAGAGATTAACGCAGAAAGCATTTTTTGAAAACCTGTAGCATCGTTTAATGAAAAATATAATTTTCATGAAAACACTAAGACACTTTCCTAGTTCATCGTTCTAAAAAAATGTCAAATATTTTGAAAAAGCATACTTCTCGTGTTGCTTTATTGAACAATTTACGTATCGTTTCCACATCTGTCGGGTTGGATTTTATTTTGCACTGCAATAACATCATCCATAAAAATGCATTTTCCGGATTGTTTTTCACTGCCTCATCCAAAACTTTCTCTTTTTCTTCGGAACTTTCTACCAGCACATTGAATTTTCTAACATCCATATCTGTCCCATATCCTCTACTAATCAACCAGAAAAGCTGTTCACGAAACTTCTCTTTTGCATCTGCATCACCTTAAAGTAGAAAATATGACTTTATTGCACTTAACTATATACAAAAGAAAAAAAAAAACAGATTATGAAACACAGATTATGCCAGGCAAAAAAATGATACGTGATGAATAAGATTAGATTAAGTTTTGCTCTTCGAAATGAATATATTTTTTATAAATATGATATGTCTAAAATGCTAATTTTCTCCTACAAACTGGTCTGAAAAAGAATGGATATTGTTAAGCTACTTTACGCAGAAGATTCAGTGTTGCTGCAATATAGCATCGAATAAAAAAAAAATGCAGCTATTTAAGTCTAAAAGAAATGACACACTTTATCAAACAATTCGTAGAGAGAATAACTAATCATCATATGAATAATGTCTTTGACAAAGAGTCAAATAATGTCGATGCATCCTTTCAGTTGGTATATCCGCACAAGCTTTGTCAAACAATTCGTAGAGAGAATATTGGTCCTAAAAAAGGACTTCTTTCATTTAATCCCGGAAAATGTCGATTTTCTCATTATATGATTATCGCTGTGACAAAGTAATAAAAATAAAGCAGAATAACATTATCACATAAGTCCAAAGAACTAAGGTTCATCTTGAACATCAAATATATGAAATTAAGAATCCAGAGCAAATCTTGAAGTCAACTATAGAGTTTTTCATATTTATATCTTCTATTAAACAAAATTCTAAACGTATGCTAAAGCATAGTGATGAAATGAAGCCCATTTATCACGTTCCAATACTTTCCATTGAATAAAAGCATCGATGCAAAAATGAAACTTACGTAATTCATTAATTCCGATTTTGCAATCCAACTTTCTTCACTTTTATACTTCGGCGTCCATAACATATCATACAATTTTTCTACCAGATGACATGCCACCAGACCATATTTCTTCATAATTCTCCAAAAATTCAGTAGCATTGCTATCACATTGACAATTGGACCTAACCAACATATTCGACCATAAACTGATACTGAAATTCAATCATAATCTAACTGGAAGGTCGTGTTTCTTATCCTGATTCTTTATGACATTCAATTTCCAAAAATGGTGAATAATATCTTGCAACCAGTAAACTATACAGATGAGACCAACCACTTCGTCCTGAAACGCAACATTTCAAGGCCTCATTAATGATTGTTTCAACGACTCGAAGACTCAAAACTGCATCCTGTCCACTTTTTTCTTTTATATTTACTTTCATTTCTGGAGTTTTCTGCGCTTCAGCTGTCACTTCCAGTTCTTTCTCCTCAGTACATAGCAGATGATACCCTTTTCCCGTCAATATACTCTTTCGAGTAATCAACCTGAAAACAATTTATTGAATAAATCCTTAAGCCACAATTTTAAGAGTTTACAGAGTCACTGTCTAAGAAAAAAGTCTATATGTCAACTATAAAGTGTTTTATTCAATCCTCCTACTTTCTTACTTACGTTATTAGTTTTTAAATTAATTCTCAGTGGGAATTTCTGAAAATCATCATCAACCCAACCATTTGACATGATCTAATTCCAGGTGAGCAAAATTCGTCCATAAACTGCATTCCGTAGGATTCAACCGAATCCCCTCTTGCATCATACAACGTGCGCACTCTATTCTATGTTCGACTGAATATTCAAATCGAGCCGCTTGAATTCGTAAAGCAGAATTCCTTGGAAAGAGCTGGAACATATAATTTCATAAACTGGAACATATAATTTATTTGACTTATATTCTGATCAGTCTAATTAAGACCACGTAATAAAAGTAATCATTTCTGACGCCGTGAGTAATTATTTACTTTCACGAAGGCCTAATTTTAATTCGCACTTTACAAATTTACTAACCCTTGATTCTGCCCTTACAAAAAGAGATTCCCTCCAGAAACTTACCTGCATTGCACGGAAATACGCTTTACTGCATCGGATATACATTTTTTCTTCCTTCAAAAATCCGATCAAATCAAACCAAAGCTCTGCCCGTCCCTGCAATCAAATGATCAGAGAAATGTCAATATTTTCATATTAGGTTTGTTAGGTTTCTCTGAACATAAATTGCACGTCATTTGAAAATATGAAGTTAAGTTAATATCAAAATATCAGCTATCATTTCAACAAATTATCGAATTTTTTCAGTTTTCAAAATTTGGCAGACATACCTATATTATAAAAAAGACTACACCAAAGTATACTCCTATTAAACAAAAAATGAAAAACCTGAAATCGTTCACAACACTGTCGCAGCAGATTGGCAACTTTGATGATGATTTTGCCTTCAATTTCATCTTCTCTCAACCTGTAATTCAATCGTTTCCGTCGCATTCAAACAAGCTTCATAATCGATCCCAAATAATCGGTATATCCTTTGAACGACGATGGATCTTTCCGCTGAAAATAATACGCATTGATTGGTACTTTCACCAAACACTAAATGATGCCAATGTTATAAAATTCCAATGAGTACCCAAAAATCAACTCTCTCTTGGACATTTGACGGACATACAGCATCAACTTATATTAATACTTCAGGCTTTACACTGCGACATTTAAGCATTTCCACTGCGAAATCCAAACTAATTTAACAAATCCTGACAAATCCAGTAAGAAAGTCATTGTGATTAATAGTATAGCATAAGTTAAATTGTCGAAGAAAAAGTTCTTACAGGCTTTTGAAGACGATATTCGAAGAACTGGCAACGTTTGACAAATGCATCAATTTCAGTAGGTGATAATAACTGAACATCTCTTAATGTCTCGAAAACAGGAAGCAAACCTTCGATATCTTCTTCCACAAATTCACTCATTCTTCACCCAGTGATCGGCACAAAAAAATAATTTCGTATTATTCTCGAAAGAACTACCACTGAAATTACCTCATATAAGAAAAAGTAAAGATGATCCTACAAGTTACTGGTTATGCATAGAGCAAGATTAATCCTATTTGAATCATTTTGATAATTTCAATCATTATCTAAGCAATTCTGGATTATCAACTAAAGTAAAGACAATATTTTAATAACATTTATTAGATTATATTTATGACGTTCCCGTGGAAAAAATTTCTCGGATAAATTCATTTATTGCTCTATAAATTATATATTAATGAATGAATCTAGACATTACCACACAATACAAACACCCCACCGAACAATATACGACCAAAACCAACAAAACACTACCACACCATTAACCCCTCAATTCCAACATTAAACTAAAATCCCTCAAATGCAGTTATATCTACGCTTATTTTTGAATTTAACGCTGTCCATTATGCTCTGAAAGCATCTCCGAAACTCTTCAATTTTATATAATTCTTCCGATCACTAGTATAAAGGGTTTATTAGGTTTATTATAGGAAGGAACTGCATAATTGAAGGGTATATAAGTAAATAGTATAACGGAAAATATCATGCCAAAATTATGAATTTGTTTGCGTGATTACGAGAGATCACGGATATATTACGTGATTATAAGCTGACGTAAGTGGTTTTTTTAACACAAGTATTTATTTCTCTTTTAAATCATTTCAGTTTCTTAATATTGTGATTTCAATGTGTTGAGAATGACTTCTAATAGTACACTATCAGTAATAATTTAGCGCTATGTGAACTATACATGAAAATTTCATGAAATTCGGATTCAAAATTTTTATAAACAAATGTAACTTAGATTAACGCTGTTAATATTGTAATAGAAATTCTGGATTTTAACATAAGTTTATTTCAGTTCACAATTCATTGATTGCATTATCACAAGTAAAGTTGTAAGTTGGTTAGAAAATCATATGGTATATCAAATACATCAGCAATTATTAAAATTATCATTATTATTTAGTATATAGAAGTGATCTGTTAGCTAGAGTGATGATGTGTTAGAATCAGTCTTTGATATTCCCGCTTTACCAGAATTTCATTTCGTCTTTGTCATCAATTCTACAACTTTATCGGCGGTATGTAATTCTTTGATTACGCTTCATTCCTCTTCTTCGTCTGTAATTATCGCGAAATATCGCTTGGTGGAATTTTTGCTCAGAATCTGTTTCATCCGATTCGTTCCAATCATCATCATCATCCTCACCATCATCACTGTCATCGTCATCGTCGTCGTCGTCCAATACATCATAATTTGTCCCTATATATTAATGATGTATAAGTAAATTCGATATTTTTGTTCCTATTCTAGCTTTAGTTATAATTTCTTGTCTGTTTTTTAATGAAGAAATATTAATTTCGTATATTTGTACGTTCGCATCGACGTATATTTCATCTACGTTTAGCACGCAAACGTAAAATATTACGTAGAATGATTTGTAATTCTTATTTCTGTATTAAAATTTTTAATTTTTTAAGAGTTGTAATCTTATTATCAAAATATTATAGTTTGTTAATTTTCGTCTATTTGATAACTTGCTGCTAGTATTTTCGACTGTTATTTCGTTGCTATCATCATAATTATCACTAGTTGTATCACTTGTTGAATATAATTTACCCTTTTCATTACTATAGTCTCCTGATTCACTTTCCGTATCCGAATCACCATAAGTGTCTTGAATAAGCGTTGATTCGGAATTTCTAATTTTGCTGCATCCAGTTTCTGTTTTCGTATTACCTTGCTCCAAACATCCGCTTAGATGACAATTCGATAGTTGACAAATATCAGTCTCATTCTTTAATTGTCTTGAACTACTACTACCAGCTTCTTCTGAACGTGAAACATTTAAGTTTGTTTGTTCTACAAAATGCTGTGCATTTTCTGGTTTGTTTTCGCAGAATGGACAAAACCAGTCATTTTCCGGGATTCGCTCCAGTTTCTCCGGTAAGCAGTAGCAATGATATGCAACATTACAGCGAATCGCAGAACCATCAGCATTTTGACCAATGTTTCCGTCGCAGAGTAGCAGTAAATGTTCATTATCTGAACTTCTGCATGATCGACAGTTTGCATATTCAATGG